TGCCTGCCTCGGCATCCTGAGTTCTGGGATTAAAGGTGAGTGACATTATTGACTGGCTTCAATTACTTACCTTATACAACTCAGAAAATTGCTTTTTAAATCATTTGTCAATTTATCAAAACAGCCAAAACAGAAAAACAACAAAAGGATACTGAATACATTCATTTATTTCAAACTAAATGTATGGGAGGCTGGCTGAAACAGAGTTTGGTTCATATATATAAATGAGCATTGAGAGTTGTTCAGGTGATGATATAATTCCTATCTGCGAAGGTTCTCTGGTTATGCCAAAGAGTAGAAGTTCTCCATGGCTATCAAAGTGAGAAAACACTTCTACCTTTGGTACATTTCTTCCCAATAATCATTTATTAGCAATAACCTCGCGTATATGTTATCAACTGCAGCTTACAGAATTCCCTCCTCCCAATTCTAAACACTACATTATATTTCTTAAGAAAATTAATCTTTGTTCAGTGGAAACACCTTTTTTAGTAACTTTTTAAAGGAAACTTTGACATCTTTATTTCTCAGGCTGTAGATCATGGGATTCAACATAGGAACAACAATGGTATAAAACACAGATGACAATTTACCTTGGCCCAGGGAGCTGACTGATGATGGCTGAAGGTACATGAAAGCTGTCGAACCAAAGAAGATGGCAACAGCCATGATGTGAGAGCTGCAGGTACTGAAGGCCTTGGATCTGCCCCCAGTGGATTGAATGCGGAGAATGTTGAAAATGATGAAGATGTAAGAACTAACGATGGTCACAACTGGTGCTATAATGTTAAATGCACTGAAGGACAGTGCAAAAAATTCATTGATAAAAATACTAGAGCAAGAGAGCTCCAGTAATGGGAAAAGATCGCAGAAGAAATGGTTTATTATAGTAGTCTTACAGAAAATCACTCTCAGCAGAAAGACAGTGTGAGCAGTGGCACTTACTAAGCCTATGCCATATACCCCAGCTATCATCCACAAACAGACTTGATAGGACATGGTTACATTGTAAAGCAAAGGATAAGCGATAGCCACATAGCGGTCATATGCCATTGCAGCAAACATATGGCATTCAGCAACAACAAAAGCACAGAAGAAGTAAAATTGAGCTATGCATTCTGGGTATGGGATGACATTCTTTTCTGTCACAAAGTTCATCAGCATTTTGGGAGTAATGACAGTGGACTGACAGCAGTCAATAAAGGACAGACTGCTGAGTAAATAATACATGGGTGTGTGCAGTTGAGAACTGAACAAAATCAAGATGATCATGCCCATGTTTCCCACAACTGTAACCAAATAGACTCCTAGAAAGATGAGGAATAGGGGCAACTGTAGCTTTGGGTTCTCAGTTAATCCAGAAAGAATGAATTCAGCCACAGCTGTATTATTTACTTCTTCCATTTTCTTGTGGAAACTCTATGTGAGAAGAAAGCTTTATATAGAAGCATACTTTGAGCATCCATTATTTTACCACTCAATAAATTTTGAAACAGAGTAAAGACATTTCCAGGAATCTCAAATCATCTCCCATCTTCTTTTCTATCTAAACAGAGATTTTTCAATCCTGTAGAAATCAGACATGCATAGAAATAATTATATAGATCTTTGCATACTTGTGAGTATTTCTACAAGAATTATTTTTACTGGTACTATTTTCCTAACACATGTAAACAATTCTAGCACACTTAATTGAAGGTTTTAAAATTTTCTCGGGTCTTATTTATAGTATCTCTCTTTTGATGAAAAATTTTACTTATGGTAATATAAACACATTATCCACAAGAGATCCATAGACATTTCTATAGTTATTTGTCAAAAAAATTAAAATTGGCTTAATTTATACTAAAATTTCTATACCACAATTCTAGACAATTGGCTAGGGAAATGAAACTCCCCCCAATATACTAAAAAAGCCTGTAGATTAGAAATCAAGAAAATAAAACATCTTCTAGTGTGTAAATATATCAAGCACATAGAAAATAAAGAATTGGTTAAAGAGGTCTATTAAATATAATTAACAGTATATCAGGGTAATGTTAGGAAACAGAAATCACAGAATAATTGAAGATGGAAGAAACTCACCAACAAACTCAGGTGAGATATTTTATAATTTTTGTTTTTCTTAGACTTGGAATTTGTTATTGATTAACATTCACAGCGATAGCTGTCCTAATTCTGGATCATTCTAAACCGTAAGGAATAGCTTCCTAATTTTATGGGTTGATATTTTTAACTTATATTTATTTGAAGCTGTTGCTTATATAGTAATATGAGATTTCTTATTTATATGTAATTTTATTGAAAGAAGTTATTACCAATCCTTTAATGCTTTTTTCTACTATAGTATACCTTTACTATAAACACTGAGATCCACACTATATGACAGAATTTGTCTTCCAAATTGGGAGTGTTGGAAATTTAACACCCAATCCTGCCTACTGAAAAAGATGAACCATTACAGCAAGAATAGGTTATGTTGCACTCTGATGCTGTCTTCAGAAATGGTTAATTACTACATGGACAGGATCCTAACATGGGGTTGACTGTGGTCCTTTTTTTTATAACTTTCATTTGAACTCCTCTAGTCCCTAGGGCTTTATTGTATCACCATTCCACAAAAGCAACTTCGCTTGATGTAATCTTTTGGTCTTCAGCTTATCAACCTTCAGAAATTCTTGACAAGATAAATACAGTTTAGTTCACCATGCATTACCTTCCTCTAGTAGTCTATTACAGTAAAAAGAATATACCAAGACATATGACCTTCTATATCGTTGGGTCTGTTCACTGGCATCTTTTACTGCTTATTGTCCTTTGCAAAGAAATTCCAGTAAATATTAGTCTCCATCAGAAAAGTACGATCATCTGTTTCTTAATCATGGTAGATCTAACCATTCTTGAGGACTTTTGACCTACTTTAACTTTAGCTGCATCCCAGTTCTTGTAAGCACACTTAATTCCACTGCCTACTCTTCAGCTCTACTTGTGTTACTTTAATGTTAGCATGTCTTTGTCCTTGGTGTAGAACGCCTCAGTACTGAATTTGTATCAGTTGTCTTAAGCTCCTATTCTGAAATGCATCTTAAATATCAATAAATCATAATTAAAATAGCAAAAACATTTAATGACAGACAGTTGTGTTTTCTTACCACTAAACTGAGATGCAAAGAACCACATACATATAACATATATGTGTTCATAGATTTATACTTCTTAAATGTGCATCTTAATTCCGCCTTGAAGCAGCATTATATCAATAATTTAGATTATAGCAAATTAGAAATTGCCAGGGAATTTATTATTTATTAATAATTTGGAGGAGGAAATTCTGTAAGTTATTTATTATTATTTATTTATTATAAATAGTATGAATACTTATGAGCTGTTACTGGATTGAGTAGATATGTGAGTTAGGATATTAACATGGAAAAATAATGAAGCAAATTTAAAAGTGTTAAGTATTGTTTCCTGTGACTATCCGGCTACATAGGTAAAGGAAAAGATGATCTGCTCTTCAGAATTCTGTAGACTAAAAGGGTATAGGTAGCCAAACAAGACACAGAATTAATTATGGTATTTAGAAGTGTCCTGAAGGACCACACCAGAATGATGATTGTTCTTATTCAGCGGATGATATTGACAGAGGTATTTTATAGAATATTAAGAAATTAAACTTTTTCTTTTTTTTTTTGGACCAGTATCGTGTGACATAATTTTTAAAGAAAGATACATTGAGCATTCCCTCAGTTATAAAAGTTGCAATATTTCTTTAAGCTTTATTCTTGTAGACTTATCCTCTTTCACATATTTTTGTTGGTGTTAAAGATGAGATTAGTATTTTATTCAATATTTTTATCATTTCTTTTTTATTGATTTTGTTGAGCTATACATTCTTTTCTGCTCCACTCCTTTTCTCTCTCCTCCCCTTCAACCCTCTCCCAAAGTCCCCATGCTCCCAATTTACTCAGATGATCTTGTCTTTTTCTATTTCCCATGTAGATTAGATCCATGAATGGCTCTCTTAGGGTTCTCATTCTTGTCTAGTTCTCTGTGATTGTGATTTGTAGGCTGGTTTTCTTTGTTTTATGCTCGCTCTATAAACCAGGCTGGCATTGAACTCACAGAGATCCACCTGCCTTTGCCTCGTGAGTGTTGGGATTAAAGGTGTGAGCTACCACCGCCCGGCACTTAGGGTTCTCATTCTTGTCTAGTTCTCTGTGATTGTGATTTGTAGGCTGGTTTTCTTTGTTTTATGCTTAAAAGCACTTATGAGTGAGTACATACAATAACTGTCTTTGTGGGTCTTTTCAATAAATTTTAACAAATCTTTTCTAAATAATTTACCAACATGTATCATAATATTAAAATATATGGGCTTATTGAGGCCATTCTAACTCAAATAATGAGAAATATTCAATTCCAACTAGTTATTCCTAAAAACATACACATCTGAGCAACACTCAATGGGTTCCTCATGTTTTATGTGTATATTATATACACACAATATATATGTATGACATATATGACACATGTGTGTATATATGTAACAATAACTTTTAAAGAAGTCAGTACTTTGAGATTAGTTGGGCGAGAACTGGAGAAGTAGCAAAGGAGAAAGGAAATGTTTAAAATCTTATAAATACAGAGTTTTCATATATGAAGTTCTCAAAATAATTTTAAATTGAAACAGATATTAACAAAACAGTATTATCAGTCACATTTTAAAATGGAGGTGCAGATCTTGGAATTGATATGGATCTTGACAGGTAAAAAGTTACACAAAGTAGTGTTTAAGATTTTTTACAAGCTAAGGCTTGTATCTCGACATACCTCTTCTTTATCCCAGACAGCAAGATGTTGGATGCTTTTCTTTTCCTTTACACTAGAAGTAGAAATAATTTTGACCATGTGATGGACAGTTTACACAGAATTACCTGTTGATCCAATAATGTTCCTTAAAGCAGGATCACAAAATCACTTGTTCTATAAGGATTGACTGGTATAAACATTTTATATGCAGGTATAGACAACAAGAGATTAGTTAGGAAAAGAATAGTGAAAATATCCCCTCTAGAGTCTCAACCCTCAAATTGTATCTCTGGAGAAATCAACAACCAGAATTAATATATATTCCCCAGAGATTCTCAGTTGTTAATGTAGTCCAGTTTAGAGTAGTTCTGTTTAAAGTATAGACTTAGGAAGAGTATACAAGAAACACTAATGTGTATTTGTGTGTGTGTGTGTGTGTGTGTGTGTTCAGGTCTTTCAAAAAATAGTTTGCTCAAAAGAAAAAAAAACAATAAAGAATGGGAAAAGGAACCAAAAGGATTTGAACTTTGTAATTCTCATTGACATCTACCAAATGTTCTTCGATTGTATGAGGAAGCTGTAAAACACTATTTGGAAAATTTACCCAAGAGTTTAAAAAAAATCAGCTTTCTGTCCACCCAAGTTAAAAATAATTTAGATAGATATTTTAAATGATATTTAAAAGCTGGCAAACAATAGTAATAATTAAAAACTAAGAGCAGACATGTGGAATCTGGTGCCAGTTAAGGCAGATGCCATTAAGGCTACAATAGTTACTTGATCTTTACAAGAAAAAAAAATCCCAAGAGGAATATGATGAGTTCACTCTTTCACATTTTCAAGAAGAACAATAAAAAATTAATTGTAAATGAAGAGTAAAAGTCATTAAGTATACTCTTTTCTAGATTAAAAGAAAAGTGTGTAAAATATAAAAATTTCCATGAGGAGAGAATTTCCACTGAAGGTAACAAATAGAACAATTGTCTATCTCATCACTTAAGTTCAGTTGTCTTAGAATTTTTGGTTGAGAATCAAAATCTAGATATCTATCAAACATTAACAGTGCACTCAGGCCTCTTTACTCTTTTCTTTGCCCTTCAAAATGTTCTTAATCAAGGTTGGTAAGGACTATCTTATAGCTCACTCAATGTTACCTAATATACTTGTGCATACCTAGAAAGAATAGGATATAAATTTGTGTGTCCTAAATTCTTATATCAGTCAATTCAGACTAATGCTGTGAGATTTGTTAATACAATTAATAAAGAAGACAAGATACATAAAATATTAAGACAACAAATCAAAGTGCATAAATGTATTTAAGGACTGGTTAGCATAAATGAGCAATGTCTAAAAAGAGCCAGGAAAATATCATCAATAGTGCCATCCATAAACAGAAACTGGAGTTCTTTTTTTAGAGAATTTACATCCTAGAAGAGATAAATTTGCAATACAGCCCTGTTAAAAGACTCAAGAATCACCAAAGAAACATGTAGAAAGAATGTAAGATCCATAGTAGTGGTTGACTGCAATAACAGTGTATCTTTGCACATGAAAGTAGCCTATAAGACATACAAGAATTGTGAAGGCTG